TCCCCATGAAATCCTCTCCACGATCCCATCTCTCATCCCTCCTCCGCTTCCCCTCCTCCTCGAATAAACCTCCGTCTGTTACATCCCTCCCCTTCAGCTCCAATCTACCACCAATCTGCCGGAAAAAAAATAATAAGAATAATAAGAATAACAAATGAAACACTCCAACCCACCTCGTACAAAACTAAACCGAGTAATGTCCGTTCCTCAATGAGGGAAATTTTTCTCCGATGACGATTCCTTCCAAGTTCCGAGAGGTGACATTGCCGTAGGGTTACCATGCACAAGGGTAGCGTGCTCGTTACCAGCGAGGTCGCTTCACCTCATTGAGCAAACACGGAGAGGCAAGCAAAGCAAGCAAAACACACACACAGACACAGAGGGAGAGGGACGGTGAAGGGCTCTCCGCGGAGGGGACCCATCACCGATAGTCGCGGTAATAGGGGTAACCACGGGATCAACTGAATAAGCGGATGAATGAGCTTCGAATATGAAGTGGTCATTCATCGTGTAGGAAAACTCATCCTTTTGTGGTCATGAAGTTGTTTCTGATGGCACTTGACCCAGAAGTTGTTATGGAAGAATAAACAAATAAATAATAAAATAAAATAAAGTAAAAAATGGGATATTCATATGGTTTACTATGAAATAAAATCTTTTTAAATTAATAAATTTTATACTAATTTGAAACATTATTATTTAAAAAATCAAATATATTTATATAATATTTTTAATTGATATTTTTGAAAATTATAGATAAGTATTTTAAAAATTAAAAGAATTATGAAATATTAATTATATGAATAATATTATAGTATATTTTTAACAAAAATAATAAATATTTTATTTATAATGTAAAAAGAATGTAATAGAAAATTACATTTTGATAAATATATTAAGTCTATTTTAATAGTATATACTAAATTTATAACTTAATTTGATAATTTTAATAAATTTTAAAATTAATATTGAGTTAAATTTTAAGAACATAATAAACTATGAATATAACTATAATTTAGATAAAATTATACATAATTCAAGAAAAAATAGAAAGACATTAAATATTTTTGCTTCATTATTTTTAATTTTAAATATTAAAAAAAATTACCAATTTTTTTATTTGAACATCTTCTTTCTAAAGTTCATCCTTAAAGTTTGATATTTTAAGCCTTGCAAGACCTTAGGTAGTTAATTACATAAAATACACACATATATATTTATATATATATAGATAGATAGATAGATAGATAGATAGATAAGTTCCTTAATTGTTATGTGAGTTTATTCTATCTACTCTCCCAAAAACTTTCCAATGTATCTTCTACAAGATGTATATGTTTATTTTTTAAACAAATAATTTTAGAAGATTTTTTTATTTTTTTATTTCTTCTTTATATATTTTTCTTCTTACAAATTATATAAGAAATTGAAGAGACAAAATTAATACCAAATTTTCAGACTTGTATTCTAAATCTTTAAAATTTGATATCGTTTTTCTCTCTCTCTCTCTCTCTCTTTCTCTCTCTCTCTACATACCCATATATATATATATATATATATATATATATATACTGAAAAATATATTTAAACTCTACATAGTTGGTTTTATATTAGAGATAGATTATTCAAAAGTTGTGTCGAAAGTAATATAACAAGACAAATACATTATGGCCTAATTTTTCTGACTATTCACTAATTTACTATATTAAGGTTATGATGTTATTTTCACGTAACATATTTTTTAATACATCCTTCTTCTAAACCTCCAAAACATGTTCTCATGACTTAAATGAACATTTTAAGGTGTTTTAAAAGTATCTAAATAATGCCTAAAAACTCCTCAGGATACTTTTTACACATTATTTTCAAAGCTTTTACAAGTAAATAATAAAAAAATAAAAAAAATAAAAAAAAAACTATAGTATTAAGTTGCTTAAATATATCATTAAAAAAATTAATAAATTTAATCTTATGTGGTTTCTTTTACAATTATAGCAAGGAAATCTTATGACAGTGTGTTGATTTTTGAAGTTGTTATTAATAATAATATAAACTATTATTTGAAGTATTATATTTTATTAGTTTAAAAAGTTAATTGAAAAGTAATTTTTCTATATGATACAAAAACAGTTTTATAAAGAATTAATATCATTTCATTATTTTTAAATATTTTAAATATTATAGATGTTATTACTTTCATGTTTTAGACAGGATTGCCATGGATTGCGAGTTTTAGAATACTCAGGCAAGAATAAAATCATGTGTATGTAGAGAGAAAGAGATGAATAAGTATAT